TTTGAGATTTTTATATAATAACAGTAAACAAAATTTATTTAAAAATTCAATTTTGATTGAAAAAATGGTTAAAATAACTAACAATGATATCAACTTTTCCATACATATTTTTATGTATTCTTAGTTTTTTTACTTTGTATATTTATAAATAAATTATTTAAAATTATTTTTCCTAAAATAACACACTACACAAACATTTATTTTATTGTGAATTTGTTTCTTAATTTTTTATATAAATTAAAATTTTTATTTATTGCATAATATATAAATGTTTTGTCCTATTATACAAACATATTTAAACAATATATCATTTATAATATACGGTATATTTATGTTTTTATTACAGTATATTCCTATTAATCGATAAAATCTTACTATTTATATATATATATACAGAAAAACAAATAAAATTTAAGTTTTAAAATAGAGTAAATTTTATATTAAATTATAAATATATTATCTTAAATATCATTAAAAAATTAAAATAAAACATAATTAATATGTAAATATTGATTTTTTTCTTCAAATCAGAATTTTATCTATTAAAATATTTTTTTAATTTAGAAAAAATTGTCAATAATTGTATTGTCAAAAAAAACAAATAATTATTTTTTAATATTTGCAAATAATATTATATATGATTCATTTATATTCATTATATTTACAAGAATTATATACATAAATATACTAATTATTTCTATTGTTAAAAATAATATGAATTAAAAACATTTTATATGTTTAAATAATTTCTGTAAAAAATATTTTGTAATTATACATATATTTTTGCAATATTTGACAGTTTAATGCTCATATTTTTTTTAATAATTATTGAAATAGTTATTTATAAGTTATTATAAAATTTCGGGAATAGCGTCCACTAGTCATGTGTTCGGTGGATATATTTAGTTAGAAATTACCACTAATAATGACTAAAAAATATTTTTTAAAAATTAATAATAATAATAATAATGATAAATATTTAAGTTTATGTAATTTTATAAGTAAGTTTATAAAATGTAAAATTAAAAACAACTTAAAATTGATATTCAAATTAACAGTATTTTAGAAATATCATATATAGTTAAAAATGTAATATGAATTTTTATTGTTGCAGATAATAGCTATAAATTGTATACAATATTAAATGCTATATTCAGATGATAAAATAAAAACCATAATTACTTTGGAAAAAAATTGTATATAAATTATAATTTATATATTTTTGATTTTTACAAAATACAGTAATTTAATTCTTATATTTATAAATTCTATTTGTTTCTAAAATTACAGTAATTATTAATTTATTGATTATAAACACTTATTTCAGTTACTATATTATTATAATCTAAACCCCTATTCATTATATTTGATTATTAAACTTTTGTCTATTAATAAAAAACTAAAATACAGACAACTCTTTTTTCAATTATTTTACTTTTATTGTTAACTTTGTTAGTACTCTATGTTTGTTGAGATAGTGTAACACAAGGTGTGACCCCTTTTGATCGTATTTTGCAATTTATAAATATTTATATATATTAGTTGTACTATAAAATTAAAATGTAGATAAATTAAATTAGTTTATCAATTGAAACATTACATTTATTACACATAATAATTATTATTATTATAAAAATGCAAAATTGTCTCTCATTAAGCTATCTGTAGTGATGCAAAATTCAGTTTAATTTATTTTTAAGTCGAATATTCAATTGAAAATTTATTCAATTTATTTTACTAAAATATCTTCAAATAATCTACGATTATCAATAAAAACATTAAACTGAACAATAAAACGATAAAAATAATTTGTTAAATATTTATTTGTGTAATTAAATTTAAATTTTATATTTATTTTAACAATATTATCAGTTTTCATTTTATTAAATTTCGATTTTCGAAATTGTTTTTATTTATAATCGAAGATTATTTGAAAATATTATATTAAATTAAAAATCATTTAAAAATCTGAAATGTATACATGTTTTTATCTAATTTAAAGTTTGACACCAGAGGTCGCCACAAACGACTGAATGAATTTATTTTTAAATTCTTGAATATTTAACTGAATTATCTGAATATTCAAAATTTTCAATCACTTACATCACTAGATATCTGTAATAACAAGTGTCTCTCAATGCAAAAATATATGCATTGATTTAGCGGTCATTTGATTAGACAATAACTTATTTTCTAACAAAATATTAGTACGTTTTGTTGAAATGTGAAACTATAAGCAAATATACCAATGAATTATTGCTCGAAGCAATCATTAATAAATAAATATCTAATTTATAATTAGAAATAATTATATATATATTGTTTTTTATAATAATTGTGAGACAAAAATAAACAATTTAATAATGTTTAATAATGTCCTTCAAAATTATATTTACAAATATAATTAGTAAGTTTGTCATCAAAACATGAAAACAACAAAATTAGTATTAGTAGTACTGTATGAATATAGCTTTAAATACAATTTTCACGTGTAATGTGAGACAAATGAAATAATTAATTATTAAAATATTTCCTTTAAATATATCATTTTAATTGAATAAAATAATCAATGGTCCGATAAAAGTGAATATTAATTAATTAATGAATATAAGTTGAAAAAATATATTTAATAATATTTATAAAAAACTGATAAACCGGGAACTGTTCACAAAAACTTAATAATTATAAAACTATACTTTAAAACACTTGTAAATAAAATATTCATTTCTAGCACATGAATGATAATAATATTGAAAACTAACGATTAAATATTACAGAAAATGTTGAACTCATGTAATATCTAACAGCAAATGATAGATAAAAAATCATAATTTATCTAATATTAGTAAATCCAACAAATTTATGAGCATTTTGTATAGTGTATGGCAATAATATAATTGTTGATTAAATACATTAAAATATAACATATTGAATATTGAATATTTGATTTATAAAGAAAAATGTTTTTAAAAACTAATTATAACTATGTAATTATAAATTTGCCTCACATTGAAAATCAATAATAAAATTTGTAAAACAATATTGTAAAGTATTTACACTTTAATGCTTATATTTTGATACAACTTATTTAATCACAGATAAATGTGTTTTATAGCATTGAGAATAAATATTTAATAAAATATATAGAGTAATTATTTTTATTAAAATAGTTTTATGACAATATATATTTATTTTAACTGGATCAGATATGTTTTATATAACCATAAGCAAATAATTTAACTTAAACACAGAGATAAAATAAAAATATTAATTTACTGTAGAATTAAAATATTAAATATATTTTTATAATTTAGTATAAGTTGTAAATATAATGTATTAATTTATATTAATTGTTAATTTGTTGATTTACAGACATTTACAATATTACAAGTATATGTAATCTCATTTTTAATTCATAAAATAACTTTTTTATTAGTATAGTATTGTAATTCAATATACTGTACGGTATGTTAACATTATGATATAGTGCTCTTAAATATGTAATAAAAATTGATATATAAAATAATAATTTTTATTTATAATACTAGTCAATTTATATTTATATTTTGCAATATCACTCAAAATTATGTCCAATGTCTAATAATATTTAATGTTATAAATATACAGGTAATACGCTAATTAAAATTTTTAAAAATAATTATTTTTGTAACTGAATTAATTGAGGTGCAAATTAATATATAATAAGACATACTTTTACATAATTTATATAAACTTTAACAGTAATCAAATGGATATACTGTAAAAAGTTAATAAATAATATTATATTTAAAATTTATTATCCATATAAAATTAATGTAACAAATTTTATTTATTTATTATGAATTATTATGAAAAATAGTTAAATAATGATAAATATTACATCATATGTTTCTCAATACTAAAATCTTATAAAATAAAAATTTGGTGCTAATAGTTGTCCTCCAAATAACACTATTTATATCAATTGATTTCTATATTAAGCATAGATTGTATTGTTTGCAACACATTATACAGTATTTAAAATTATTGTATGTAATGCTATTTAAGTGCAATTAAAAAATACATCGTAAGTCAAATTATTATTATTTTATACATTATAAATAAGTTATAATTTATCCCAGTTTTTAAAGTTAAATTTTACCTCTTGATTTATTTTTAAATTAATTAGACTTTATATTTAAGTTATAATTAATTCATTTAAAATATATTCAATATATTAAATAAATGGATATAAGTGAAAGTGATTTCTTATATTTATATATTAAATTTAATGCAAAATTGTTTGAAATACGCATTAAATAACCTTCAAATACAAAAAATATTGAAAAATAACTACATTTTAAATCGTAAAGGTATTCATGTCATTAAAAAATATGGTTTTTAGTACACATCATACCATTGCATTGAATATTATTATCGACACATTTGTTTTAGTTATCATTATAAAGTATAATAAAGTAGATATAATGTTTATGATATCTATTACTGTATTTGCTATTATTTAAATACTATAAAAGAAAAAATATTATTTAAGTTATATAAAAAATTTAATGATTTTTAAGTTATTTTTAAGTTTCGTATAATATTATTCACAATTCATAAGACTATTCACACCAATACGATAAGTCCATAATAATAATAATAATAATAATAATAATACTATTACTACTACTAATAATTAAAATATATAATAGTTTTTAATTTTTTAAAACAAAATTGATATAATAAAAACAAAATAAATATATTAATTGCAAACTTATAATTTAAAACAAAAAATTATTAAACATTATAATTATTAATATTATAAAAATGTGTATTTAAATTAGACTTTCTATTATATAAATTGCTATTTTTTCACTAATCAAATAATCATATGTTTATATTTTTTATTTGTTTGATTATTTAAAAAATAGCTAAAAAATTAAAAATAATATCAAATAAATTACATTTAAATACTAAATAATTTCTAATATAATAAATGTAATAAAAATAAGACATACCATCTCCTCCTTTATTTTTCTTTTTGCTGAAAAGTTTTTTGAATGACATTATGTTTAATGTAAATAATTAATTGTCAATTTTGAATCAATTTTAACAATTATTATCCGTATTATAATTATATCCAAACTGTAAAAGAGTTGTATAATAATTAGTTGTAATTGAAAGTGATTTAGTGTTAAAATTGAAATACAATGGGAATCAGTGATTAATAATAGGCTGGTATAGAGTCGGTGTATAGTTAGCTGGCGTTCAACACATTTGTATTACACAATTGCTATTCAATTATTACAAGCATATCATTGAAAGAGTTATAAATTAAGTTTAAAAAGTGTTTTAAACGTTAATATAATTACTTATTAGGATAGATATCAGTCGATATCTATGATGAGTTATCAAACAATAGATACTAGATTTCAATTATTTTATTATTTAATATTACGATTAATATTATGATTTTTGTATCGCAATTATTATAATGACATTAGAGTTGTGAGTAAAAAATATGTAATAGCGGTGACAACACAGCAAAAAACGAGTGCCAATACTAAATCATTTATAAAATGTTGTATATGTGAGTAAATACGGTAAATAAATATTATATATAACGTTAGATTTGATGCAAAGTCACGTCAAAGTGATTGAAGTCGCGACTCATTAAAGACTGACAAAACTATTATATGATAAATGATTACAAGTGATGACCAGTTTTGGTCTCAAATGTGCGCAAATACATACATTTGTTGGCTATTTAATTGACTATACATTTAAACTAATGATGAAATTAACTGTTAAAAAATGTTTGACTGATATTCACTGCAAAACTTTTATCACTACTCTCTTGAAAATTATTTATTTGATTGGATATCAATAATAATAATACCTGTATTATACAGTATATAATAATCGATCACTTTATTAATCATATAACTTATTAAGTGAGAGTCTCAAAAATATATGTAATTATATAAAATGTTAAATAAAAATAGTTTTATAAATTGATTAAATTTGATGTTATGATCCAAATATGTTATGATAACAGACTATTCAAGTGTCTGATAATACTTATTTAATAATACAGAAAAAATAAATTGTTTAACTATTAATATAAAAACCAATTAAAATGTAATATTATATTTGCATCAATTATTTTAGTCAAATATATATTAGTATTACATTTCCATTAAATTATTAATTTATAAATTGACAAAACTTTGATACCATTATAATTGAAAAGCGATTTATGATTAGTGTCAATGAGATGAGATTGATGTCACATAATTCATAATTGAAACAACTTTTTTTTGAAAAACCTATCGTTACTTTGAAAAGCACTTAACAAATACACATTTGTATGACTTTTTATTGAATGCCTACCTGTGCTTAATAACTGTGACATTCACTATGCGCTATAATTTAATACATTATATACAGTAAATATAAATATAACTAATAGTCAGTCAATGAAAATGCATAAATCATAATATAAATATAATTTTTAATGTATTATTTATTTAAATAGTTGTCTCATTATGTTATTTAAATAAATATTAAACTATAATAAATGTGAGTTACAACAAATTATAAACGCAATACTTTTTAAAAATAAACAAAAATTTACTATTGTTTTTAATAAATTTACCATTTTTTTACTCAAAATATTATTGTATTTATATTATTATACATCACACTTTATGCTAAAACCTAAAATTTAATAATTCTTTAATACTATATATATATATAATCTAAGAATTAAATTCAATAAAGTTTAACTCAAATTGATTTTCTTAGTATCAATGTATTAAAAGTCATATACTGTAATATAATTATCATTTACTAACTATTGTTAATATAATTAAACATAAATAACTTTTCCATTTTTAGATTATGTGTTTTACGATAATATACATTACAATTATATCATAGTTTTCATTAACTGCAATGTTTGTACAGCTATTCTCTCTCTCTCTCTCTCTCTCTCTCTCTCTCTCTCTCTCTCTCTGAGAGTCTCTCATTCTGTTTCTTATTATTTGCTATAAAAAGTTATAATAAAATCAATAATCACAATATCTAATGAGTTCTACATTTAAATGCACTATGAATTTAATCGTATATGTATTATATGTATATAAAGTAATATATTCAACAATGTATTTATTTATGATAATATATTTTCATGTCTTATATTCATTACATATTTAATGTTTATTTGCATTTAACAAAACAACAAAATAATGAAATTGAATAGCAAACTAAGTTTACAATAATACAAAACATAATAATATGTAATAAATGAGTTCATATTTTGATAAATAATTATAGGAATTTCAAATATTACACTCAAAATGTGATAACAAATAATAAAATAAATAATTTGATAAAATAAAATAATTTATTACTTAAAGTAACTTATATTCAACGCCTACTTTAAGTAGAAGTGACTCTTCATTGAGTTTTTCAATGACTCTCAAAACGTCATCTCTTGAGTGAAATTGAAATGCGGAACAAATGTCAATAATCTGGTCGACGGACAATACGTTTTGTTGGTTTTGTTGACAAAATAATTGCAAAGATTTCAATACATTTTTTGGATTCAATTTTTTATTTTTGCCGAAACTCGACATTTGGTTCAATTGTTTCATAGATTGTATGGCATTTGACACAAAGTATTCCTTTCCTATTGAATGTCTAACGATATCAATGACATCGCGAGCATCTTCTTCTGTTGCTTCACCTCTTAATTCAATCCGAGCTCTGGCTTCAGTCAATCGATAAAGTGTTTCTCGATTTCTGGTCACAGATTTGCTGATTTGAGATTCGGTTATATTTCGACTAAACTCATCCAATAAATTCTTTGCTGATTCACATATTGTTGGATAAATAAATTGTTGCGCGTAATCAACATATTGACGAATTAATTGGTGAGGAATTAAATCTGGCTCTTCATCATTGGCACCAAATGTCAACTTTGTCTTCAATGGACAATCATCTCTATTATTATTATTATTATCGGTTTGTATACAAAATTTTTGATTATTTTTAACTCGTTTAGCACTATTGCTGTGCATTACAAGTAAATCATTGGAAAACTTTGTGTCTAATTCTTCATCCGGAAAATCAATCAAATTAAATATCAGATCAAACTTTGATAACAAAGATTTGCTTAGTTTAGTGTTTTGCCAGACATTTAATGCATTATCAAAGAGACCATTAATAGGAGTGACGGCAGCAATAATTGCTGTATTAGCCGCCAATTGTTTGTATTTTTCATTGCGATGAAAACAAACCAATTGGTAGTCCATAACTTCTTGTACGGCCCGCTGTTGTACTGTATTCATGGCATTAAACTCATCGATACAACAAATGGCTAAACAAATGACAAAATAAACAAATGAAGTAATCATTTATGAGAACTGAATGCAAACCCATTTGTTGAGAGACAAGTACTCCGGACTCGAATTGTTGATTATCTTTGTTAGTCTTGACGTAATGTGTGGTCAATGCACTCATTGTTGCTGTATTTCCACATATATAATGACTTTTCGGTCCACACGAGTGGACACTCTTTAAAAGTATGTCTTTATGTGATCCATGGTCTCCGAAGATAAGTACGTGAACCGTACCTCTCGTTATTATTTGTGGACACTGTTTGTCGTGTTTTTTTGCACCGCCAAACAGTGCTAACAAAAGTCCGCTTTTGATCAATTGGTGGCCATATATTTGTGGACACAATGAAGCCGTCAACAGACGCAACAAATTGGGTTCATTTTGAATGGTCTGCAATCAGATGAATGAATGACATAAATAGACATCAATTGGTGACAATCAAGTCATACAAACCTGAATGGCGTTCATATTGTAGTTGATTGTGTCCGCCATATCATCGGGTTGTCCATCAAATTGTAGCCAACTGTGAGCCATGTGTCCAGTGGTCGCGTCCCGACTGCCGATGCTTTCAAATGCACCGCTCGATCACTGATAACAACAATAACGTCTTGAATGTAATGATTGGTTGCATAAAGTGTTACACACTTTGAGTGTGTATTTCGTTGTATTCATGCGTTCATTGCATTCATTTTACATAAAAAGGCTCTGATTTTGGGCTCAATTTAAATATAGTTTGAGTAATGCTATCAATGAGTGACTCATTTGATAAATACTTTCAGTGAATCTATTATTCAATTGATTTGAATTATAATTAAATTAATTGAATGAATGAATGAATGAATGAGTGATTAATTGTTTGATAAATTAATTTGAAATAAATGTTGTTATGAATGACATAATCAATGATTTGATTGAAATAAATATTAATTAAATAAAGTGTTGAATAAGTAATGACGTGATTGTTGTTTCAATTGATAAGACATCGCTATAAAATTATATTACGAATTGCTGAGACGACAACAATGTAATAGAAGTCCTATTCATTAACTAAGTTATCATATTTAATGCTTACAATGACTGTAAAGCTTAGACTCTAATTGTAAATATGATAACTTAGTTAATGAATAGGACTTTAAAATTAACATGTATTATTATACATTGTTGTCGTCTCAGGATATTGTAAAAAAATTTTAACTGTTATAACTTATAACCAAAGCGTTAATAATATTTAATAAAATAAATAAACAAATCATAAGAAATGGTTTTTTTGACCTCAAAGTTATGGTCATCTCATGGATCTCACGGTTCGGGTGACCACAAGCCAGACAACAGTGAAGGAGAACTGAAGAAGATATACGCGAAGGCATCGACGCAAAGCTTTGCCGAAAACCCGAGATATCCGATGCATCCGACCAGTGGTGTAATGCCGATGTCTATCGTCGGAAGATTCAAACACGAAAGGGAAAGACTCGGACCTGACTTCGACAATGTTCAGAGAGAGTGGAGGATAAAGACAATTCACGACAGACATCTGCATCCATCGGAACCGTTTGAAGTGAAACAACTCTATAATGAATACCACAATCCGATTCGTCGTTTCTATCGCTGGCCTTTGGATCAGTTTGAAGATTGGTTGAGAAGATCGGGAATATTTGAAAAGTTTATTCCCGGAGAGGTTGTCATGTCTTGTCTTTTACTCAATTATTACATTTATTAGTAATTATTTTAATTACATTCAATCTAATGAAGAAGATATTCAATTAATATTTAAAATGCTTTTATATTTTTGATATTTTAAAACATTTAATATTTAAAGTTCGTTATTATGTTTATCATAATTATTAATATATAAAAATTATTAAAATATAAAAATATTAATTTAGTTTTTAAAAAATATAATTAATGTCTACAGAACCAGAATTGGCCGAAGATTACTCGTCAGTTAATGGGCGGCGGATTTCTCATATATCTGTCTGTATTAGGTGTTTGGTATTACATGAAATACAATCGTGAGCATTGGGAAAAGTATCGGGGTCCTCAGATCAGCTTCTATAGGGAAACCATATTTCCCGGTGACCCACGATTTCCAGCTAAAGATATCCGAACCGAGTCGTGGCAACACTACGACAAAGGTTTCCATAACAGGAAGGTATTCCTCAACAATGATCAACAATGAGTTAATAATTGTTTTAATTATTAACCAAATTGTGCTTATTATAGATGTTATAAATTAGGATTGTCTTACACTTTATTATCTAGTGTTCAATGATTTATTGTAATAATTATAATTATTGTAGATTACAGTAATAATTAATTAATAATAAATAATATTCAATTTAGATATTAATTATAAAAATAAATTTATATAAATACTGTATATTATCAACAATTTTTGAATTTATCTGAAATATTTAATGTTAGAATATACTGTAATATGATTAACAAGAGTTATGTTTATAAATATGTATTACGATAAAGCATTTATTAATATATTTCTAATTGCTATCAATGATTATAAAATTTATGAAATACCGTTTTATACTATATTTAATTATATATATATATATATATAGATTTAAATTAATTAGGAAAAGGAGTGTAGAGTTATATAAGTATCGGTATATACAGTATTATTCATTTTAAAATTACCGTAAATATCATTTCGTGATATACTGTTATACAATATTTAGAGTGAATTCATAGATAATTTATATTTCAAAATTCATTTTCAAATTACTGTACTTTAAAATAAAGTAGTAATCAATTTTAAATAATTACCATTAAGTCAATTAATGGCTAAGAGATGGTAATTGTGATAATATAATCATAAGTTATAATATTATATTATATATAATATTGATTTATGAAATATTAATACCTATTATCAATCAGATTTATTATTAATAAATATATAAATATTTTAATTTAATTTTGTTGACAATTTAGTTTTCAAGGCAAGTATGATATTTAGTTTATAAATTATATTATAGAAATAAATTTATGTTGGTCAATTACGATTTTCCATTTTTTAATTATATCTGATAAAACTTTTATGACTAATATAGGATTTTATTAAAATTTATTAACAGAGTCTTAAACAGCGACGGCGGCGATGCTATTAATTACAATTACAATCTGGTCAACAATTGGTTCAATTAAAAAGTGACCAAGGGCAATGTTGTAGATAATTTTAAACTAAATAAAATTGTACTTGGTCATTTTTTAATTGATTGAATGATTTGCCATATAATTGCAGTCGACTGTTTAAAAATTATCTACAACATTGCCCTTGGTCACTTTTTAATTGAACCAATTGTTGACCAGATTGTAATTGTAATTAATAGCATCGCCGCTGTTTAAGACTCGCTGATGTATTAAAGTATTTCATAAAATATTTTATGGGTCACACAAATAAAGCGTTTTATTTTATTTAAGAGAAAGTATTTATGTTTTGACAATTCAAGTGAACGTATATTTGAATATCTCTTAAGTGATTACCTATTGATGAATGCACTGAATGTCGGCAATTAATATCACAAGTCTTTATCTTATCAATAATATTGTCATAAATTTTATTTAATTATTATTTTTAAATATTGATATTTTATAATTATAACATATATTTTAAGGTTTTAACTTTAATACCCTGTCTTCATAAAGCAATCTCTCAAAGTATTTTCAAAATTTCTTAATAAAAACACTACTTATACTTGACTTTTAAAGTTAACAAAAACACAAAACTTTGAGAGAAAGTAGACTTCAAATACTTAATAAAAACCATACTTAGAAAGTATGAGGTAAAGCACACATATATTGTATTTATTATATTATTTGCAATTTTTGTATTAATATTTTATGTCAATATAAATATCAAAATCTAAATGATTAATAAATTTTATCTATAAAAGTAATGCTAAGTATATATCTTAATGAAAACGATTTTATACTTTACTTTGAGAGAAATACTTGCAGAAAATGCTTTATAAAAATAAGGTATAAAATTACTTTAGATATCAATTATTTGATTTAACAAAAGTCAGGTTTTTGTTTTGTTTTTAGTTTATGAAAACAATATATTTTTTCAAAATAAAAGTTCACTTTTATGTCTAATATATTTAACACTGAAATGAGCCGATGTTTTGTCAAATATATCTCTCATTGATTCTAACTTTAATTATATAATATTAATGAAAATTTAAATAATTTTTAATGTTTATTATATATTAATATTTAGTTTTTACTTGTATTTTTACAATAAGATACTTAAATTATTTTTTAAAAATAGTTGTAATAAATTATATATTTTATTTATACATACAGTAATTTTATTATTAATTTTAAATTTAACAAATTAAAATTTTAAAATAGGTATATTTATAACATTTATTATTTTATTTTTAAACAATAATATTTTATAATACAATAGACATCGATTTTGATGAATCTATGAGAAGTTATTTTAAGTTATGACCATTTATTTCACATATAACTTATATTTTTAGTGATTAAAGATATTAACAAATAATTAGATATAAAAGCAATTGATTGAAAACTAATAATTATATCAAAAGTTTTAGTCACATAAACACTTATAAGTTATAACAACATATTTTGAAAGGTAGTCATATATTATCAAATATAAGCACATATTTCGCATATAACTGTAAAATAATGTAAAATAATAGTTGAATTACATTTTTATTATGTATTATTTGTATTCAATTTAAAAAAATAGTATTTTATATGAATGCAAATTTATTTGTTAATTTTTGTAGATTAATAACAATATTTATGATATATTTTCTACAATTTCCTAATGTCTACTAAAAGACAATAGGAGTGAAAGCATTATTTGCATTAAAGCTAAATATTTTTATATTGTTTTTTTAAGTTTAAATAAGAAATATATAAAATATTGTTTTATCATTAAGTGTAACACAAAATTACTTAATTGATTTTAAATATAATCACATATTTAGACTTCAAAACAATTATAAGCAAATATTGTCACATATTTTCATGTTTTAAAGCAAATATTTTATTGAATAAAACCAGAATTTTAGTCACATATATCTAAAGTTACTGTAGTTATGAGTTAATATATTTATAAATAAATAATGTTAATGTACCGTATAGACCCGCATATAGCCCCCTGACAAAATTTTTTAATTTAAAAATCAACATTTGGTATTGGGCTGTATCTCACAAATACCCTCCTACTAGGGTTATATGTGAAGTCGTGGGGTAAGTAACGATTGGGGGTAGTGTTATATGTAAGATCGGTTATTGCAATCAAAAATCATTAAATGCCAGTTAATAGCAATTAATGTTAAAATAGTTAAAATTAAATATATGATAATACAGTAATGATAGAAATAATAATTAACACAATAATCAGCTTACGATCGGTCATTAAATTGAAAATTACCCATTATTTGGCATTAAATAGACCGGTCAATAGATTTCATTTTTTAAGAGGGGGGTAATTACAGACATTCAAAAAACTTCAATTATTTTAATAGTGGGGGGTATTTGATAATTCTTTAAAATCAACATTTGGTGGGGGGATATATCTCACTTATTGCCCCACATTTTCACATATAGCCACTGATGACCAGGGGATCTAAGTGCGGGTCTATACTGTACTCAAAAATTAAATACTATTAATATTTCACTGTATTTTTTATATCAGTTTAAAATATAATTATTAAAAACTTTGTTTTAAGCTTACCGTAGATATTATAATATGAAATCGAAAATTGATTCATTGATGGAGTATTAAAATAACTAAATATAAACTTAAAACTTAATTTATAATATTACAGTAATACTGTATTAACATTTTTATTGGATGTAAAATAATCTAATTTATTATTTATCCGAAATTATCAAAAACAACTTATTTTTAATTCACTTGTTAAACCACTTTTAAAATATATTAATTTTATAATCATTAGTACTAATAAAAAACTAATGATTAAAGTATCTAATTTTAATAAATTAATTATTATATAATTAATTTGAATATTATATTTAAAGAAAAAATTCATATACCGGTCCTTTAAATAACATAAATGATAAATTTGAGGTTTTTATAAACTTTATTTTCGATAATTTTTTTACAATTATTAAAAGTGCATAAAAGTTTGTGCCGCATATAAAAAGGTATATAAATATCAGATGACTATACATGAAATATAATGTAAAAAATAATATAAAATTTGATAAAACATTACTTTAAATAATAAGTTCGATAAATAAAATATCGAAATAATAGGAAATGCAAACAAAATATGTTTTCTAACTAAGAATACAGACAATGATTTTCAATAACTGTAACTACATTTATAAAAGTAAATAAACTTATTAAGTAATATTAATATAAATTAATTGAAACTAAGTTTTTAATTATAATTTAAAAGCTTAGTTAATTTGAAATTTTATATTATTTATAATTAAACAAAAAAATTTCTTAAATTGATTAAACAAAATTTCATGATATAAATGTTGAAAATTGAGTCCTAATAAATAAAAATCAATTTTCAATTTCTTTAAAAACAAAAGAATTTTGATTATAAGTTGATCTAAAAAAACAAATACACAGTAATTAAACAAAAGTAGAAATAAAATAAAAAATAAAACTAATTTTAAAATAACATATAAATGCGGCACAACTTTGATCGATAGGATTACAAGAAGTGTATAATAAAGTATAATAATTATTGAAATTCATTGAAATGTATCGTAAAGACTGATGACCGACGAAGACCAGAGTGCTGTTCGCACGGATCGCACTGTCAGTGACAACACCTTCAATACGGCACACATCTGCTCCATAAGCGGATCGTCAGACAAACCATTGACCACAGTATTGATGGCATTTCTTTGCATTTGAAACTTGCGTTTCATTTGCAAATGACGAAGTGTTTCCACCCATTTCTCCAAAGTGTTATGTATGGTATCGGCTAACTCTCGACCCATCAATTGCTCCATTTTGTAGACAATTGTGATGACCTTTGCGTGTTCTCGAGACATATCTGTAATGATTTTATCAATTTTGGTAGCATTTGGTGGCATCCGTTGAATCGGTATGTTATTAGCCGACGAAATCCTGTGGCCAACAAATGCTTCATTTAGTTGACATTCAATCTGTATAAACAATCAAACAATTAGTTAATTGATATAAAGTTTATGTAAAATATAAACCTTTTTCCTGTCTTTTTCCAAATGTTTTAGTTGTTCATAACATTTGTCTAATTCGTATTGCAATTGATTTGTCGACTCCAGACAATTGGTCCAACTTCTGGCTCGAATCGATCGCACGGGTCGTACGGTTGTGTTTGCAAACAAATTTTGCGGATAATTCAATGGATCCCAACTCTGGTTAACCGAAACTCCTTTATCTGCCATTTGATATGATATACAGTATAATAATGATTAGTATTTTGGATGAGTTGTTGCTTAAGACAAATGAAAGCATTGATTCATTCAAATGACAAACAATGAAATCAATGCAATCGTATGGCACTTGACTTCACTCATCAATAATTATATTCAATAATACAATGCATTCAACACAAGTGACAGCTATTCATAACTAATACCATTTAGGGCTATATTATGTCTACTTAATTATTCGGTCAATCGTTGTCTCCAAAAGGTCTGCAAAAGCAATGTTGCATTGATTTAGTTGCTAAAGCGTGCGATAGTGTAATCAACTAATAAACTAATTAATTAATTGCATATATATTTGCAAATGTTTTGTTAAGTTAATTAATTGCAATCATAACTAATATTATTAATGCATTTATTAATTGAGTTAAACTTTATATTAATAATATATAACATATTTTGTCGCCAATTATTGTAGAGAAGATTTTTAGAGAAGATGTATTGCAGGCAATGTATGTCTCAAATCTGGGACTCGACTGTCATTGGCCTACACTTACAGCTTAAACACAGTTATGTATTAATACTGTATTAATATTATATACAAATTTGAACTATACTTAACATTTAACTATTCAATTCATTTCAATTTTTTAATTTTATTATAATAAAACATAATAATAATAATAATAACCAATTAGTTTAATAAACAATTTTACATCAAATTAAATTAAAATAAAAGTTGTTATACTCTTAATTGAGTTATTTTGTAGATTTAAAAAAGTGATAATTACAATAAATAATTATTTTTTATAAATTATGTAGCAATTAGTAAGTGACACCTAATTTTGTAAATCAATTTTTTGTAAAATTCTAAAACTTTTGATTTATTACTTTAAATTAATTGAGTAATTGAAAAATTATTATAAATATATACATATAAATGTATAACTATATTTATTTACAATATTATGTAAAATCATTGACCTTGCACAGTTATATAGATTTATCATTTTAATTGCCTTATAATTAGTAGTTTACAACAACAATAACTAAAAATAATAGATTATATGAATATAAGAAAATGTTACACAATTGATGATAACAGTAATTATAATACATGTATTTTATAAGCGTATAAAATATAATTTTTAGTAAATTACTCTCAAAAAAGTTATTGAATCGTCAATAAAAATAAACAAATAATATAAAATTACAAATGTGTAACACTTAATCAAAATACATATTTTTCATATAACTATGTTTTTATTTAAAAAAAAAATAAAACAAAAATAGCTGTAAATATTGGCAATGAATGTGATATAGTGTGGGAAATATATGGATAAAAGTGATGGAGTGGTGCTGTGGGAGTCATACAATAGTACTGATAGTAATTTACTATAAAGCATAGCATAGCATAACATAACATTACATTACATTATATAACATAACGGCACAAGTCTTAAGATTAATGAATGTCTGGTAAATGCAGGAAAATATCGGTCGACACTAAACATTGTTTGCCTCTAATGGCACAAACTATTAAGGCATACACTTTAAGCTTAAATTTGGGACATAATTAAAGAGACACTAAAATATGGACATCTATTCTATTACATTAATACATGTTTTAAATCCTATTTTTATTGTAGAAATTGATTTTTGTGTTTAACTAATTTCAAATTAGTATTTATTTTAATATCAAACACACAGTACTGTTAATATTTTGTAGTAAATAGAAAAGTAGCAATTGTTTTGATTTATTGCTTTATTAGTCTTTTAAATAAATTATTTTAATTAATGACAGATTGGTTTAAAATAATGTTTATATATATTTTAATATTTATATTTTTCTTTATATACATATATATAAAGAAAAATATAAATATTAAAATTAATGTCATATTAATTGTTTTAAATTGCTTGCAAAAATTTGTTTTTATTACATAATATGAAGTACTGTATAAAAGTGAATAATTGCTGAATTTATTTGCCATCCATTAAACAAACGATTTGTTTGTCTTTTATATTAGTTTTTATAACATATTATTTCATACTATATATATACTGTATATATAAATTAATATATGTTTATATATAAATACATATATATATTATATAACATAATAACGAGTTTGAAAATTACGCTCTAATCTGATTGAAAGAGAGTGAGAGAAATACCCAAAAGCATTGATTTTCATGAAAAATAAAGTTATTTATTATTAATTTATATTCATTAAAACAACCAACAAATTATCCTAACTTTCATTTCTTCTCATTAATTAAATCTCATAAAACGTCTCATTTATAAACAATTATTTATATTTTTATTGTTTATATTACTAAAATTAAATACTGTATATATTGTATATAACATTTTTATAAATATGTAGTAATATAATAATATATAAATTTAATTTAATTATAATTATAATTATAATTATTTATATTTACATGAAAAATACAAAATTTATTTTTACATAATTTTTGTTTAGACTTATAAAAAATGTATTTACATATAACAAGCTTGTAATACCTTAATTGTTGTTTTAATTGACTTGTAATAACTGGTAGCTAAAAAATTATATGTTTAGTGTATTACTCATTTACATAATGTACTAAAAGATTTGTCGAAAAATAATTTATAAACATTAAATAGAAACAAAAAAGTAGTTTTGTGAAAATTTTTATAATTTCAATAAAATCTCGTAAAAAATTGAAAATGTCTATTACATACATTTCATGCTTTGTAACTAAAAATTTAATAATGTATATACTATATAGGGTTTGTTATATTATACATGCGATAACATTGCACATAAAATTGTTTATATTTACTGGTATTGGTATTGTAATATAATATATCGCACATTATTTATAATATTTTAATATTTTAGTATACAGTATTTATTTTTAGTAAAAATTTAAGATTATTTAATGAAATTAAATAATTAATTAAAATTAAAAGTATTATTGTATTATTATTTTTTACATTATTTAAATATTTATATAGTACAGGTAGATACTATGCTAATAAATAAAATGAAATTGATTGAAATATTTTAATAAAATTATCAATTTTATTATTTAATGACAATTATTAATTTTTTGTGAAAATTCAATTCAATTGTTAATTTGTTAAATGTATATAATTTAAAATTTTATATTATTTAAATTATAGACAGGTCAGCTAAACAACAAACACTAAATTCAAGGATATTTTAAATAACTATTATTATATATAAATTTCTTAACAATCAAAATAAATTGAAATAAAAATTCCCATTAATTCATATACAATTCATATAATTCTTTATCATTGACTTTAATATCTAATGACTTTTGTAAAAATATATGAATACAAAAATGTTTACTTTTGTGCATATTTTCATGCCTTATAACAATATTAAACATTCACAAAATGACCAAAAAAAACTTAATAATATTTCTATTTATAATAAAATTAATTATTATGTAAATATTTTTATAAGCTATTGTTTGTTTAAGTTTACTGTTATAAATTATAATTTTATACTATACAATCACAATAACAATAAATAATAATTATTTTATTGCCAGTAATAAATAACTATTAAACAATAATTATATTGAATTTAAATAAATAAAGACTACTAAGCAATTATAATTAAAGCATGAAAAGTATTTAATATAAACTTGATAATATTCAATAAAATATTTACTAAAAACTAGCAAAATATTTATTTATAAGTTAGAAAACATCAATTTGTTGTGTAAGTCTTAAAAATATCTTAAATTTAGTTTATTTTGCATAGCATTTAAAGTACAATATTAGCAATATTTCAAAATACTATTATCAAAAATAAAAATGTTATTAATTTGTGTTATAATCAATTTATCAATATTGTTTTATTATATTCACTTAAAAAATTAAAAATAAGAATTATTAAATTTTTTACAAAATGATATATTATAATCTAAATTATTTATATTTTAAAAATTTATTAGTTATATAATACAGTATTTTTAAAATAATGTTAAATCGGATATTTTTTGGTAAAAGGGAAAGAGTAGTGCATTCATATAATATTTATAACTATTATATGTTTTTAGTATCTTTAGTAGTGTTTATATTATAGCAGTAGTGCGTTAAATAATAGGTACTATTCAATAGACTATCGTTTAACTCAATGATCGATAAGAGACCGCTTTATAAACAATTCATAAATCATTTGAAAAACTAATAATTTTCGAGTAATTTGTAAATCTCTTATAAATTATTTCAATTAAAATCTCTAAAAATATTATATTAATATTTAACTCACAAATTAACAAATAATTTACATTAAATAAATTTTTATACATTATATTAAAATTCATTTATATATATATATATATATATATATATATATATATATATATAAATGTCTACTGTATGCAACTTGTATAATAGAGTAAAATATATCAAAATAATTTTTTTAAAAAGTTTAATCAATAAATTTTATTATATACCAAAATAAAAACATATTATGCTGCATCAAATAAATTAATATAAAAATTTCTGCTATATTAAAGTTGTAGTCATTTTCAATTAGTTAAAATAATATATAAATTGAAATAAAGTTAAAGCATTTTTAATATAAATTATCTATAAAACTAGAGACAGTAATAAATATATAGATAGATAAAGTATAAAATATAATTCAATTTAAATTGATTTTAGTATTTTATTTTCAATGAGGAATTGCCATTTGTCTAAAATTATATGTACAGTATATATATATATTATATCAATATAATAATAATTATATAATACCGGTATTTAGTAAAAAATAAATTGCATGAAAACTATAGGTTAGACATAAATGCAAAAATGAACTCAAAAACCGGTAAAATAGTAATATAAATGTCACATAAATTTAGTCAACATTTTTGCAATGTGTAATATTTTCATTGTATTATCAAAAAAAAGTAATTTAAAAGTTTAATTTATTACTCATTTATTCTTAATAAATCAAAACTTTCTCATAAATAGACTAATTGTGTTTGAATAAAGTCTATTGTTGTAAATATCATAAATATATGTATAATTGATGGCAAATTATAGCTGAATTGTTGTCAAAACAGTTAATGTTAGT